GCGGGGCGAACCGTCGGCGCCTGCTGCGTCAGACGCCTTAGGCAAACCGCTGGCCGGCCGGCTGCCCGCGTGACCGCTGCGTGCTCACGCATGGTTGTTTCTCCATACCACAAAAACGCAAATTGTTAAAAAAAAAAAAAGGGGGCAGAGTTTCTAGGTAGAACGATTTATTTTTTTCTGGAGAAATTCCACTTAGGGCCTGGAGGTCGGCCGCGGTTCGCCCCTCGGTCGGCCGACTCGGCACGCGCTTGCTGAGGACGACGGAGCTGAACGACTCAATTGCCTTGAGCTGTTGCTTTGCAACGCTCCGAGAGCAGGAAAATAAGGTCTCCCAAAGTTACTTTGCTCTCGGTGCGACTGTATCCCATCCGCTTTTTCTGGAGAAATTCCACTTAGGGCCTGGAGGTCGGCCGCGGTTCGCCCCTCGGTCGGCCGACTCGGCACGCGCTTGCTGAGGACGACGGAGCTGAACGACTCAATTGCCTTGAGCTGTTGCTTTGCAACGCTCCGAGAGCAGGAAAATAAGGTCTCCCAAAGTTACTTTGCTCTCGGTGCGACTGTATCCCATCCGCTTTACCTGGGAAGCCGCTGGCCGGCTGCCCCGGTGGCTCCTGTATAAAAGCTTTTGTGAAAAGTAGAACTGCGGCAGTCCGCAACCCTTCGGTTTTATTACCGACACTTTCAGTTGCAAATGAGAGCGTAGAAATTTTATAGCGCCTTCCATTGTGAAGATATGCCAGCTAGTCCTTTATAAACAAGGAGTTAAGCAGCAAAGCGCCACCAACAATGAGGAGCTGAAGGAGATATTTACTGGTCGTCTGCCTAGAAATGCCACTCAGGCTTCCTTTTCTTCTCCCAGTATCTTAGTTCTGTGCGGTTGTTGCATACATCCTTTGACTGGGGTGGGACCATGCACCTTGATTTAATAGTGCTGTGGATGCAAAAAAATTACCTGCGGGAAGTGCCTGCAGGATTTGACCCAAAGTGCTAAATACACCTTAAAACAAGGTGCAGACTTTTTACATTGTGAGTAAGGAGCCACTGGAATGGTTTGTCAAGCCCTGTGGTGACGTGGCCACACTGGCCGTTTTAAAACCAGAAGGATATGTTTTTCTCTAAAAAAGATATTTAATTTTAACTAAAATTTATTCAGGGAAAGTTATTGTGTAACATGGGAAGGCCAGAGCACGTGAACATAATACTCCTTTTGCAACTTAGAATTTTACCTAAAGTCTTCAGTAAATTTTTATAACTATAAATTAATAATTGTAGATAAGTGTGCAGTCTCACAGTGGAGTGAGTAAGTGTAGATACGTGTGCAGTACCCAAAATTCACCTACCTTGTACTGTGTGGCAGAAAACCTTAAGCAAGGAAAGAGGCAACTCGCAGCCTGGATTTGTATGTCAGGATTAGCCGTGCAGTAACAGCCTGTGACCGACCTTTACTTCCCCATGTCTTTCTAGGGTGATGCTTTAGGAAACTAATTAAAAATTAAAGACGGTCTCGCGGCATGCGTGTGCGCTTGTGCGAGCATGTATGAGGTATGGCAGGGGGGGGGAGGCAATATTATTAAAGAATTTCCCAGGCAGCAAACCAAATTCTTGGGAAAGTTGAGTGACGGGATCCAAGGAGAAGAGTTTAAGTTGAGGTACGTGCTGGTAACATCCTGTTTAAAC